CCCCGCAGCTCGGGCCAGCCTGCACGACAAAGCCTCCCTGCGCATTGAGCAGGTCCGCTCCGAGGACCAGGGCTGGTACGAGTGCAAAGTGCTCATGCTGGACCAGCAGTACGACACCTTCCACAACGGCAGCTGGGTCCACCTCACGGTCAACGGTGAGCCGCGTGCGGCGGGGGCAGCACCGGCATGGCGGGCGGGGGGCTGCGGCATCGCTGTGGGGTTGGGTGCGGTGCCGAGATGGGTTTCCCTTTGATTTCTGACGGACGCCGGACCTCGATAGTATCTGCGCCTTGCAGACAAACGAGCCTGAAGCCATCCAGGCTGACTGCTCCAGCCGGGGTGCGACTTAAAAAGGGACAAACTGTTATTAGGGATTCCACAGTTTAATTATGCGGAGCTTGTTTAAAGGAGAGACATCAAGAAATGGGGCTGGGAACGAATCTCCTCTTAACAAACAGATCAGAAAGTCAAATCTTTGTTTTCTTGAAATTCAGATTTACTCAAATTACTTTTTCATTTTATTAAGGCTGCATATTAAACTAATTAGCAAATTGTCATTCTCCACATCAGGAGAGGTCTTATTTTTAGCCCAGCAGCAGGGCTGTGCCTCTCCTGCTGCAGTGGGGTGGCTGGAGAGGAGACGTGGGCACCGGCAGCTCCTCGCTGGTCTTGCCTGACCTTGAGTAATTAATTTAACCTTTCGGGGGGATGGCTGGGCTGCGGCACGGAGCAGAGCCACCTAATTGAGCCCAATTAGCGAGCGGGAGCTTTGCAAGCAGGGCCGTGCAGCACACCAGCTCTGTCCCTGCCCGCCGCCCTGCCGTGCTGCTGCCTCCTTTCCCCCTGCCTGCATAAAGGGAGTGAGATGCTGCCACGCTGCCCGGCGAGGCTGCCGCCCTCCTGCCTGCTCACGAGCTCGGAGGGCTTGGGAAGGAAGGAGCGAGGGAAGCCAGAGGAGGAGGGTGCCTGCTTTGCCTGCACCATGTGCATGGATCCTCCAAACCGCCGGCCCGAGGGGCTGGAAGTGGCCATCGGTGCAGGTGCACCCCTAGGTGCCCTGTCCCGCCCTGGGCTTGACCCCCTCTGCGAGACGGGGCACTTTTTGGGTTTTATGCAGCGCAGGGCACACAGGGGCTCAATAGCAAAATAATAACCGTAATCCTCCCGGCCTGAGGAATTGCTTTCAGGGGAAGGCTGTGGCTTTCCCCCAGCACATTACAATGCTTAATTTTCTTAGGGGAAAATAAAAATCATTTGGGGAGAAACAAAATATAATTCCTTTTTTCCTGAGCAGATTAAATTGCCAACCTGTTTTCCTTGAAAGTGGGCTTTAACAACTGCTGGTAATTAGGGGCGGGCTGTAATCCTGGCAGCCTCTTTCATCAGGAAGGAGCCTTTCGATCTGCACTGCGGTGTTTTCCCATGTTTTGACAATAGCAAATTAATGTGCAATGGGGTGGGGTGGGGGGGGAATGTGGTGCCGTGCCCTGGAGCCGGCGGGGAGGAGAGGGGATGGGGCTGTGGCATGGTACGGCAGGT